TGATGTATAGCTCATTCCAAGCTGTCCCCAGTATACTGTCCTACAATCCCAAAATAAAACGAATTTGGTCATCTACCTTCCTAGTGTTCATATTGCCTATTCTGAAGCTTTCTTTTGAGTCCACCTCTGAATCAGAGTTGCCATGACAACCGTAATTCAATCCGGGCCATAGTCTAAAGCTCCTGGCCTAAAATAACCCATAGTCAACAGACCCAGTTTAAAGGGTAGATTGTGCTACACACACCTTCAACCCTCTCCCTGTGTGGAATTCAGTCACTGGAGTTACTGCTCCGTAGTTTCTGGGACCCTTAAGTCTCAGGTTGCCACCAACAAGCTGAGTGGCTATGAATCTGATATATCCTTCACTTCTTTCCCACATTTCTCATCTCACAACTGAGTTCTTTAGAATCAAACAGGTGTCCTAAGAAAGAAGAAGCAAAAGAAGTAGTAACAAGGTTACTTTATCTCTCTGAGCCTTAATTTCTTCACATATCAAGTAGGGATAAGATAATAACATCCACGCTGCAGATTTGTTGTGATAATTACAGCACAATGACTGGCCCGAAATAAGCACTCAATAAATGGTAGCATTATTATAATAATTATTGTTACTATCTTAAAGAAAATTGTCCAAACACCCCTTTGTTTTCTGATAAAACTTCTACCCCAGAATTCCAAAAGGGAGAGGAGCACTAGTATTCCCTCCTCACCAACCATTTTGGGGAAAACAGTCGCTTCCAGAAATAAGGAAGGGTAAAATTATGAGGAGAAAGGTAGGCAGCATTTTGATCTATGAAAAGGCGAAGAAGCAGACATATATTTATTGACTAGTCACCAAAAAGCAACCTAAGAATCTCTTTAGTATCTGAATGGGATATTTAAACTGCCATATTATTCACTGTTATAAGCTGAATTGGTGTCTTCCCCACCAAAATCCCCCAAATTCATATGTTGAAGTTATATAATAACTCCCAGTATCTCAGAATATTACTATATTTGGAAAAAGGGCCTTAGAGGAGGTAATTAAGGTAAAATGATGTCTTACGGGTAGGTCCTAATCCAATACGATTGGTGTCTTTATGAGAAGAGATTAGGACACAGGCACAGGGGAAGACCCAGCGAAGACACTGGAAGAAGGTCTGAGCCAAGGAGAGACACCCTCAGAAGAAAACACCCCTGCTGATGCCTTGATCTTGGACGTGTAGCCTTCAGAACTATGAGGAAATAAATTTCTGTTTTTTTAAGCCACCAGTCTGTGGTACTTTGTTATGGTAGCCCTAGCAAACTAATACATTCACTCTCATGAAATTAAGGATTTGCTGATAAAAAGGAATTTATGTTTTACTATATGATTTTCGATACAATCAAATTCTTCTTTACGCTGAATACAGAGCACATACTCAGGGTCCCTGAATTGTCCTGGGCACTGAGGTCTGGAAATACAGAAGAGTAGTGAAAAGTGCCCTCAGTGAGATACAGATACCTACAGAACACCTGTAATGATAAAGCTCAGAAACAACACTGCTTTCCTGTTTCATAACAGAAGTCAGCAAGTAGAAAAGAAACAAAGGCAATTTTAGAACAGGTGGCTGGTATAAGTGGAGCTACCTATAAAGAGGAACACCATTGATAAGGAGAAAATGATTCAGCAGAAAACACTACACTATGGGAAACCCAATCACTTGGCAAACATCTTTATTCTGTATTTAAGCAAAATGTAAGAGTAAGAGAAAAACATGCTTATGAGATTATAATTTCTTATACAACAACAATTCCCAGTATTAGCAGTTTAAGTTGATTGGTGGTTATCTTATAACAAAACTGGTATTTTTTCCAAGAGTGTTCAAGATATAGATACAATCATGAGTCATTCTGCAATTCTTAACAGTGTACTTATGATGCTTTACTTTTCTAAATTTAACTACTAACTAGCCGGGCGTGGTGGCTCACGCCTGTAATCCTAGCACTCTGGGAGGCCGAGGCGGGCGGATCGTTTGAGCTCAGGAGTTCGAGACCAGCCTGAGCAAGAGCGAGACCCCGTCTCTACTAAAAATAGAAAGAAATTAATCGGACAACTAAAAATACATAGAAAAAATTAGCCAGGCATGGTGGCGCGTGCCTGTAGTCCCAGCTACTCGGGAGGCTGAGGCAGAAGGACTGCTTGAGCCCAGGAGTCTGAGGTTGATGTGAGCGAGGATGACGCCATGGCACTCTAGCCCGGGCAAAAGAGTGAGACTCTGTCTCAACAACAACAAAAAAAATTTAACTAACTATATGACTGAATGCCCCTGAGAGCCACTTAAAACCCCAATGAACATGAATTTTGCTCAGTAAACACTTAATTGAGATACCACTATGTACCATACGCTATGCTGGAATTGAGTGGAGTAGCAATGAAGAGGAAATCCTACTTGCCTTCAAGGGACTTACAGTCTAGTGGAGAGACAAACACATAAACAAGTTAAATATGATATAATAATTAAGAGATATCCACAAAGTGTTATGGGACCACAAAGGAGAGACCCTTAGCTATCTGGGGCTTCAGGGACACCTGGGTTAGAAATAGCTGGACACAGAAGGCAGGAAGAGCATCATAGAAAGAGGGGTTAACCACAGACTCTCAAGCATCTATGGCCAGAGAGGGTGATTGAAAGACACAAGAAGGATCACAGTCTAAGAATTTTTGAAGAGATAAGTGAACTTTTCCATTCCAGATCCAATCTGGAAATTATTCCAGAGACAACAACGGAGTGTGAGCAGCAAAGAAAGACCTAAGCAGGATTATCCTACACTGCTCAGATCCGAGAGACAACAGAGCAGCACCACCAGCGAACTCATCCTCAGCCTAATGAGTAATTGGCAACAAGCATTTTGCAAAACCTCTACTAAAGAAACAAAAGTTCTCAAAAAAAAAAAAAAATACACTAGATAAAAACAAAATACCCTGGGTAAAGATTGGTTTTATCAATCAGAAGTGAGATATTTGCAGACAGACTAAAAACTGTCTACAATTTGTGTTACGAACCCTCATGCA